GCCAGGCCTCCCTAACGATTTGTTAGGGAAGGGTTCAGTTATCAGAACTTTTTGTGGAATGCATGATAAACACGGTTAATGTAGGATGAAAGATATAAGCAACAGACTGGTAGCTGAGAAAAACTAATGAAAAGGACAGCCAGTGAACAGGTAGCTTGGAAAAACATAAAATAATTCTATACTGTGAATATTTTATTTCCATTCGCAGAAAATGTGAGTATTTATGCATTCAGTTTTCCTCTTATGATCTGTGTAACAACAGTTTCCAGGAAAGGTATATAGATAGACTGCATTCCTGAGGCGGGCAACCAGAAAGGGATGAGTGGCCAGATGACAACTCCCTCAGCTCTCCTCACTCTGATTGACGTCCCATGGCACGGGCACAGCAGGCCACACCTCTGACGTTGTTTGGTCCACAGCAGATAGATACAGTGGGAGGATAATCGTCCTGCTCTTCACCTGCTCTCAGCCCTGTCCTGTTGAGGAGAGGATGCGTGGTGGGCAACGCCAAGCTATACTTGACTTTCACCTTCCTGTGTGGGAAAGGCCAAGCATGAGCAAAGGCACTTGCAGGAGCTCTCCCAAGCTGTGGTATAACATGCAGCTGGTGCTCCCCACCCCTTCACTTCTCCAGGCTGTTATCTGTGATACCCTAGCACCACTTGCTCTCCATTAGGTGAGGAAGTGGCAAGCAGGAGAATCCCCTTGTTATCTCCAATCTGTGTCTGGAGATAACAAGGGGATTCCTCTCCTGCCTCCTCACAAAGATTCTGGTAGTCTCCAGGCTAGGGGCAGGCCTTGAGGAGTGGTTTGCAGAGAGAGTCCAAGTCCCTGCAGGCCGGCTGGGCAACTTCCATGCGGCAACAGGTCACCCACCCATGCCTCCAATGCTGCCTCTTCCTTGCATCATATTGTGACATCCGTTAGATCTGTGGGAAATCCCCATATTTATCTATCCTATGCTTGTATGGTATGCCCCAATTGCTGTTGAAATCTTTTGCACTGGAACTTTGCCAGGACCTGTTTGCTTTTTTTGAAGCACTGCAAGACTTTTCTATTTAGACTGATCTTTTGACAGACAGTGACATTCCAGCCCATTTTTCTTTTCTTTTATATTTACTTGTGTTATTTGTGTGTTTCGTGTGTGTGTGTTGTGTGCCTCCACAGTCTCAAGGATCCCACAAAACAAATAAATAAATTCTAGTTATCCAAGAATTTTTTGTTAAGTGTATAACATGTGAGCTTCTGTTTGCTACTACCGTTTCCTTTCCAGCTATTTTAAGCAGTGCTATAAAAATCTATAATTAATGATAACTCTTTTCTTTCTTGCTCTCTGCTCTGTGTCTGACAGACATGTCTGGACCAATTTCTCCATCCTGCCTCTGGCAGCAGAATGGAGCTAGCATTTCAGATACTCTACCAAATCCCGGCTGCTTCAAAGGAAAAACCCCACTTTCTTCCGTTAAGATCATAAGAAATATAGGAGGAGGGGGTCAGCTCTGTTTGGACATAATTATACTTCATCAAAAGAAGCTTTCTTCATCTTCCATGCGTGAAAAGTCTGCAAGCAGTTAACTCTGCCTTCCCCCACCCACCCACCACCCACCCATTTCTTTCGTTCTTTTTTCTTTCTTTCTTTCTTTCCTTTTTTAATATAAAATTGCTATTTGGGAAAGTGGCCAAACCTTGGAAAGCCAATATAGCAAAACTGTGCACACACCGTTTGTTTTCCTTTGAAGTTTCTTAAATCAATATGTCTAAAGTTTGTAAAGCATACTATCACGTTTTGCAGATTTTACTCATTGATCAGAGAAAGCCTCTCATCCATGAGGGCTGGGTGGGAATCTGGGGGTTCACTTCATTTTCTACCATGTAAGATACATACCTGGATATCTCATCCATTTCAAATGAGTTTTGAAAAACACAGGTGGTAAGTTGTATTTCTGTTTGTTTTCAGAACTAAATATAGATATAACTACTGTACTTCTATTGTGGACAGTCATGGAGTAGATAAGAAAGCCTTTAATTTTAATCAATCAATAACAATACAAAGCAGAATTTTAAAAACAGATGTTAAAATAATGCAAAAAAATTGAGGGGTATAACAAGGTTTATACCTTATCCTAGAGGGAAGTGAATTCAATTACTTCATATTGAATCACCTGTATACTGGATTTTTTTTAGTATATATAATTAAAATGATTTTAAAGCAGTCACTATTGGCCACAGTCCTAAAATAAGAACCAATCCTGGGAGCAGCCCTTGCTGAATCACTTCTAGCAAATGGTTAGGATAACAACAATGACCCCATATGACTGAAACAATTAAGGCAGTTGGCAGAACTTTGACTCTGGCCTCTCTCACAATTCAACAATGCCTTTGTTCTCAGATTTGCATTTGTGTTGATTACATACCCCAGAGTTATCTGGTTTCTATTTGTCTGTAGCTGTTTTTGTTTTGTTTTGTTTTTAAAATGAGTGAGTTTATGCTCTGTAATGCATGCAGATAAGAGGATAGGGACCACGGTTCGTAGGGCTCTAGAGCTGACCCCAAAGTCTATACCACTGTTTTTAAAAAGGCACAAGAATCCCAGACTAGGCTAGTTTGAGGGTAGAGATCAGAGCAAATCTGCCAGCAAACCAAAACCCTGTGGAGCAGTGCACTGCTCCTAAATCCAGATAAGCGAGCCGAAAGCCAGCTTTACCAAGGAGGTTCCCACCCCCTACTCCCGGAGGGAAGCCAGACAGAGCAATCCAGCTCTACACTGCTAGCCTTGCATGGACTGCTGCAATGCACCGGTTTGAATTACATACCAAGTCATGCTTAAAATAAGCCACAGTAAGGTGGGGTTCCACTCACTAACCCCAAAGACTGCTGGCAGACAATCAGGCTCTCGGTGACTTGTCTTGCTTCGTCTCCCCCTTGGTCCTCTCACTCACTCTCAGCATGTGTCCCATGCACCTTCAGCAGCCTACTGCACTAACGAGTGCAAATGTATGCAACAGCAGAACAGAAGTTTTCTTGTAGAATTTTCCTTTTCACACTCCAGGAAGATTTGCACAAATCTAACTATTCCTTTTTACCTTTGGAAATTTTGCACAAATTTAACTTAGTTTTTAAAAAAATCAATGGGATTTGCATGCATTTACTCATACAATAGCACAGCAATTACTGGAAATCTGTGCAAATCTCCCCAAAGGCCCCCTCCCCAAAAAACTCACCTTGCAAAAATCTCTCCAAAGCTTAAGTCAGATAACTGTGTTGTAGTGCAAGTTCAAATGTGAATTAACTGATATAAAATGCAATCAATTAAACTGAATTAAACTTAATACAGCCACCAAATTCATCTCCTCATCTCTATTCAGAAAGTGACTTTAAAAGGTTTGTGCTTTTCTTGGTCTGTGTTCCTAGTAAATCACTCTATTTTGTCTATATGTCTATGTGTTTTGATTTTCTAGGAATTCCTCATTCAATTTTTGAGAGTTTGAGTTAGGGTAATGTAGCCAGTATTCAGGATTCACTCCTGTTACCAAATTCACTAGCAGTGAAATGTCTAAGTAGACAAAAACACATCCTGCCTCTAGTGTACCTGTCCGGTTCCACCACGCAATGCACAGCCAGCTAAATGATGCCAGTGTTGATATATGGAGTTCAGCAGTGTGTCTTTATGGGGGCAGTGGCAGCAAAGCTGCCCTCTTCCAGGTGGATTCCAGTTCCCACAGTCCCTGACGATTGAACATGCTGACTGGAATTTATGAGAGGTGTCATCCCAAACATCCAAAGGGAACAGGGTTGTCTGTTCCTGGAATAATGGAATACTAGTGTATCACTGCCTTCTAACTTTGCACTGTTTTCAGTCTCTTTCCTTTTGATCTCCTTCTATGCATCCTTGCTCCCCTAACTTCCAGCAATGATTCAGAAGAGTATATAAAAAAGAGACTGCTCCTTGGGCCTTCATTAGGCATTACAGGAAGTTCCCAGCACAGAGATTCTCTGGCATTTTAGTCTGCTAGGGCCTCCAGACCTTCAGCAAGGACCTGGAAGCTTCAACAAATTGGAATTCTCAAAGAGTTTTGTGCTGGGAACTTCTCCATGGCAAGCATTTTGGGTAGTGCTTACCTCGGCACACAGGCAGTCTTTTATGGCTGTTGAAAGATAGATTTTTAGAAAAGGAAGAGGGACAAATACAACTTGGAATAGCCAGAGCATGTTTACAAGCCAAGTCAAAATGCAGTTTGGATTTGGATTCAGAAAAAAGCTCATTATTTCCAAATGAAATGTGTTGATCAGTGAACATGCAGGTCCTCCTGGAATCTCAGGAACAGCGTCATCACAAAGACTGGAATCTGGTGTTTGGATTGTAGCCCATGCTCATCATTCACCAGTGAAGCCAAAACTACTGGAGAAGTGGAATTCTCCTCCTCATTGCACCCTGTCTGGAGCAGTTCCAGACATTTGGGGAACTGTCCACAGCAGATTTGGGGAGGGGACATAGCAGGGCTAGGTGAGGAGAAGGGGGCAAGGAGAGTTCATTCATGCATCTGTGAATGTAACGTAATACATCTTATTGATGCCAGTGAGAATTAATTCTGCATCAACATCCTTAGGAGTTGGCAGCACAGCTAATAAGAAATCCATATTTTAATGTTTTCATCACCACCACACAGTAGAATCTTGGAACAGAAAGGAATCTACAGAAACTCTTCCTTGCATCCTTACTAATACCTAGCTAGGGTTAACAAAACTAGGAGCCCATTCTTTGGTGAATTCTTTCCCCAAAATCCATCTCCCATAAAAACAAGAAAAATAAAAGTAGTCAAGGGGGTGGGGGAAAATAATATGCCAAATGGAAGGACTGAATTTCGCAACTCCCCCATCACCCTGCAAGTGAAGGGCTGAAGAAGGTCCATGTATGGGGTAATCAGTATTTCAACACGGGATCAAGGTCTATGCTTCATTTTCATTTACTGATTTAGGAAATGCATCATGCAGTTATGTACCTCTTCCACTTCTGCCCACAAATCTCAGGTCATTAAATCGTGCCACTTGATTCTTCATTACAGCGGAGGCGTTCCTCAGCTCTGCAGAATAATTTTCATCATTCCCAGCCATGACTGTGACCACTGTCCCATCGGGAACTTCTCCTAAAGCCACCACCTGCGACAGCAAAGACACAACAGTAACTTCTTAGAATTATGTGATTCCAGTTTTAAATCCACAACTGTATTCTGAGAAGAATTCAAGTGTGGAAATCACACGGTCAACCCCATGCAGCGAGACAGTGGGGCCACACCCACTGACCCAGGCACCTTCGCAGCCCTGTTCCCCCTCTCCATACATGTTGCCATGGGCCTGTGCACACATGCCTCCACAATGACATGGAGCCTTGGCTTCCATCTCACAGGGGGGACTGAGGAGTGCAGAACAAATGGGCTCCCTGCGGCAGAGGTGCCCGAATGTACAGTTGGTGGAGGGGGGGGCCAATGGTCCTCTGAAAGCGAAGTGGGACCACTCTCCTGCTTCACACCGTTACTCCCATTATTTGCCTGCCGAAACAGGGCTACAATTAAACAAAATTCTTATCCTACTGTGCTGCAGCATTGCGTCCACATTGCACTGGTGACACTTGTATATAGGACCTGTTGTGACAGATGGATGATATGATTGCTTCCCATGATGCTGGTAACATGACCGTATGTGTTGTGCATTTTACTTGGATCTTCAAATGTATACATTCTGCTATGTTCTTTTCATCTGCCTCTGGACCATTTTAGGTAGCCAGTTTGGGTTTAAAAACTGAAAAAAAGGAGTGGTTCCCATTCTCAGGTTTATTTAATATTTGTATACCACTCCACATTAAGGCAGATTCTGGAGTGCTGAACTGTCAAGAGGGTGAACAGGAAAATAATAAAAACATTACATGAAAATAATATTAACACCACTGCTGGCCAGCAGGAAAGGCTGCATGGAACAAACATGCCCTCAGCAGGTGCCTCATCTCCAGAAGAATTCCACAGACACAGGGCACCACACCGATGGATTCTTCTGGAGGATTCTCACTGGGCCCTGAATCCACGTGAGACCACCAAGAGAAAGTCCTCCAATGACCTCAGTGTCCTCTGAGATACCGATTCAAACTTGTTCAGAGTTTTACACACTGGCACTAGAAACTTGGCCCAGTTTTGAACAGGCAGTCAGTTCAGTTCCTTCCATGAAAGAACTGCATGCTAAAAAGGTGCAGCTCCTGACAATATCCAAGCTGTTTTGTGCTGTACTAGCTCCAGCTTCCAGACAAAGTTTCAGGGAAGCTTTGCAGAGTACACTACAGTAATTCAGTCCTGAGGTTACTAGTGGACAGAGGCCGTAGCTGGTCAACCAACCAATCTGAGATGTTAAAAGTCACTCCAACATGCTGCAGGCACTGGGGACATCAGTGACAGCAATGTATCTGGGAGTACCGCCATACTACAAAACTGATCTCTCAGAGGGAGTGTAACCCCATCTAGAACATGCATGTATTTCTGGAACAATTCATCCAAGGAATTCCCATCTTGTCAGGATTCAGCTTCAGTTTACTGGCCCTCATCCAGCCCATCATGGAGTCCAGACACTGATCCAGCACTTGCATAGCCTCTTCTGATTCAGTTGTCAGGAAGATATAGCTGTGTTTCGCTACACTGAAGGCACTTATTTATTTATTTCATACATTTATACCCTGTCCTATCGCTTCAAGACTTGGCTCCAAATCCCTTAGTGATATATCCCTCATATAGTTGCACCTTCATATAGATGCTGAACAAAACTGGAGATAGAACAGTACCCTCATCAATTGCCGGGGGTCTATTCCAGACCCAGTGTGACTGGAATCAATCGTGCAGGTAGGACTGGAACCACTGTAACACCGTGCCTCCAGTTTCTGCCCCAGAAAGTCAATCCAGGGGAATATCACAATTGATGGTGTCAAAATCAAATGAGAGATGGGGTAGAATTAATAGGGACACACTCCCCTTGCTTCTCTCCTGATAAAGGTCATCCATCAGGTGACCAAAGCAGATTCAGTCCTATGACCATTGCTTTGGGGGAGAAATGCTGTCCTGTCAGGGGTGACCCAGTCCACCAGCTCTACCTGTCCCCAGCCACCACAGAAGTGAGGCTGGCGCTGTGGTTTGGGAAGCACTACTTTGTGGGAAAGATGCCTGAATTTATTGCAAGAGTCCAATTGTCTAAAAAAGCCTGTTTAAAAAAAATGTATTGAAATGTACCTGCAGTTGTTCTGTGGAAATATTCTCCAGTGGCTTACTACAGGTACTCTCTGGGTTATGGATGAGTTCCTTTCCTGAGAAGGTCCTTAAGTCACGTTCGTATGTATGTTGGATCACATGAGTAAGCCAAATATTTTTCTTAGTATATGTATGTATCTTACCTTTCTATGCATATAAAGCACTTAAGAAACACTTCCTTATTCACTAAAACATCTTAAACACAATACAGCATTGTAATAATGATACTAATACAGCGATAATAAAGTAACTACAGGTACTGGAGAGAGAGAAAATCTGTATGTATGCATGCAGGTATACAGTTCTGTAAAAATCAAATACAAGAGACAGTTCTTAGAACAGTTTAGAACATTCGTGCGGTAACATTGAGCCTACCATTAACTAATGACAGAGATGGATCTGGTACTGGAGGTTCAGGGTTTGACTGCTGAAGATTGGGGGTGGGGGGAGGTTACCATTGGAGTTGCTTCCTTGAAGTAGGCCTCAAGGGTGTTTGTGCAGCCATTTTTTTTTCTCACCCTAAATGGCTTTGTAGCTGAGGGCCTGGTGACAACACCAAATGCTACAGAAAAACCAAAGGGGAACAGCGCACCCTACATATGCCCTGAAACACACTGGCTTGGGTATGCTCAAGCCAGTGCCCAGAACGAAAAACTGTGAATACTCCGTCTCTAGGGAACTAGGCTGCCACTGATGATGTGAAGAGAAACAAGTCACAGAGATCCCTAGAGATATATCACAGTTTGTAGAAATAACCATGACTATTTCCCCTGAAAAGCAGTAACTATCTGGGAACTATGCGGCCAAACATATCATATAGTTTCCTAAAGATATTCATGGCTTTTTTCTAGAGATTTTCATATAATGTTTATGGCAGTCTGCATGTTCATAAGTACAGGTTGTTCAAAACTTGGACATTTGTAATCCAGGGACTTCCTATATTTGCAACTGGCAGTAATTATCCTAAGACTCAGTCCAGAGTAGGGTGTTTGTTTGTTTTTTAGCAGTGGTCATGTGACTGCTTCATTCTCTTAATACAGAGAGGCATTTACTACTTCCTGCCTGCCCGCACCCCCCCCCCCCCCGCTATACCATCTTGGAATTAAATCTATAAATGTGTAAATTATTGTATGTTGAAAGGGTTAGGGAAGTTGGGGTTTTCAATGGTCAGGATTCATTACTCACCACAGTCACTCTTTTTGGCCTATAGTTCATTGACTATTTCATTATTAATTTTATGGGGGAAAATCTGAAATTTGAAAAGAGATGCTAAAAAAATGTGTAACTATATACTTTGCATCTTTTGAAAGACAGCATTGAGGCTGATGTTCCTACAACCTTCAGCTGATACTCCATTTTTCCTGTAAGTGCACTCAGCCATAATATAGCAGCAGAACGACATCACAGTAAAGATGACTATCTATTTGATAGCCCCCGTTTTGGCTATTCTATCATACTGATGAACACTTTGGTCTGCAACAGGCACCTTTTAATACATCCATTCTGCAGATTCCCAATCGCTGATGTAAAAACAGTCTGCTTCTATATTATGAGTGACTGATAGATGCAAAGTGCCTTGAAAAGCAGGACTATAGACCTATAAATATAACATATGGAGCTTGTTTTATTTCAGTGTTGGTTTCCAATTACATTTTTGTACTCCTGCACCTGTTCTTCAGCTACATCATGAGCATCTGATAATCCATGATTTCAATGCCATTGGTTCCCACTGAAATAAACACATTATATATTAAACATCCAGGAAAGAACTCACGAGATACTAAAACTGCAACTACCACAAGACTCTAGAACATCAACACTCCTGTATCTTTGGTCAAACAAGAGACTGATTATTTGAGAACTGCACACTGAACCAATAAAAATACATCAGATCAGAATGTGAATATATTGTTATTTATTAAATGTATGCCAGTGGGCCTTGAAAGTGTTTCATATTGGCTGAATCATGCCTGGTTCATTTCTAACACCAGGAGCCTCAGAGCGGGGGGGGGGGGGGGGGGGACTGGTAGGCAATGGCCTCTAAAAAAGGAGGAAAATCACTTGAGCTGAGCAGTTCAGTCAAGACATAGACAGAAATACTACTTCTGTAATATTTAAGAGAAAGCACAAAATGGTAACCCACCCACCGCCGCCCAAAAAAAAGCTGCCTCATGCCAGATCAGACAATTGGCCCTTCTAGCACGAAAAGTTGTTGAAAGATGGAAAACACATGATGAAATCTTTTTGGAAGGAACAGAATGGTGTGTTTTCTGGTTGTTTTAGGCTGGCAATGCTAGAGGCATCTGTGCTTGATTTCTACAGAGAAGTGCTGCAGCTTTAAGCTAAGTGGAAGAAATGCTTTGGCAAGTCCTGATTCTTCATTAAAAAGGGGAAGGATGAAATGGCACAAGGGTGAGGGGAAAATAATCAGTTCATACCCGGGAGCAGTTGTTTATTCCTGTTAAAGAAGTTCATGTTATACAGTCACTGACTGATCGATCTCCGGCAAGTCTATTCCTCAGCTGAAAAATGGGACTAATATCCAATAAATGGTGTATAATGTATATGTGACAAATAGATGGACAGACTGACAGGTATGACTGGGCATGTAGCCTGTGGCTTGCCATGCTAGTTTTGTCAGCTAAAGCCATCTGTGTGTCTTCTTTTAATTCCCCTTCTGCTGGTGCCTCTTTTGAATCTAAATTGTGTTGGCCCCAATGTCATTCCACTGGGCTGTTAAGCTACCCCAAGAGTCCTATTGACAATAAACAGGAGTGTCCTTACTTTCATTGATGCTATTTGAGAGGCTTGATGTCAAACTTTCTTCACTGGTTATTGCAATGCAAAGTAGGAGGCAGCCGGTTTGCAGCTTCTGAG